TGGCAATGACACTGACTCATCGTCAGTGGCTACTGGGCCAGACGCTGGCCACTAATCATCGGTCGCTTCCGTGTTGTTGTTGTAAGCTTACATGGCACAGAAAACATCTGGCTAAAAACGCAGATGTCGGAATTCGACGTGCTTGTCAATCGGCCGATCACCGAGTGTCTGTCATTTGTTTACCGACGGCCATTTGGCTGTCGCGACCGTCCGAATCATACACGAATTTATCTCCGTAGACTGTACAATCATCAACTGTGTAATCAGGTGCAATCATGCCGACGATACACTGTTAGCTTCTTTATTACAGTACCGACGTCGGGTTGGACTGCGGTTCTGACCGTCGGCACCAGAACAGGCCATACCTTAAAACAGAGCTGTCTGTGTAGTGGGCACCAGGTCTCGTTTGCTGGATCGGCAATGGTCTAGCTAGGAAAGGAATGGAATTTTCCCAACCGTTGGCATATCAGTCTGCGAGTGAATTGACCCACTGACCGCAATCGCTCAGTCACAGCCGAGAGGTTCCGAGTTCCAGCCCCGGTAGAGTCAATTGTCTTTATCTTTGTTCCTTCCGGGGTCTATAAATGAGTACGAGTCTGTGCGAAGGAAACAAGAGACTACAAACTATGCTTGTTACATAGCTGTAGGTTCTGCCTTAAAAATAAGGCACTCCTGGCTAATGGCACAGCAAAATATATACCAGCATCGCACCAGAAGCATTATGAAACGAATAGCACGCTACATCGTCTCCATTCATGAAATTGCATGGCAGAAAGACATCCAAACGCTTTTTCTCCATTCCTTTTGTTGAGCTCCATTTCTACGTGTCATTCAGAAATGTCTTGATGATTTTCTTTTCAAGGCTATTTTACTGGGCGGTGACCATTACAGTGCACAGACTCCTGTTTCTTCCTCATCGAGTGGCAGTGAGATATCTACCTCAGAAGAAAGAAAAAGGAATGACTCCACTCGGCATCAAAGCCGGACCTCTCGGCTCAGAGCTTGGTGTCCTGCAAGCAAGCATTTCCGGTCTACGGTCGGTTAACAGCGTTTCTGTCCATGAGCGCTTTCCATCAGTTCTCATTTGAATTGAGGACACTGTCATTGTTATTGTTCAAGCATCAAGTTCTGCTGCTTATTAAGTGTGATGAGATCGAACTGATTTTAAGCAACGGCATAAACAAAACGCTAACAACTGTAAAGCATTTTTAACACTGTTCGTCAGCGACTGACATAGAGATAAGTGTGATATCACAGCAGAGAAACTTTCTTGCTGGCTTCCTACTGGTCAAGGACGAAAATGTCTCAAATACCTGAACTGCCACATTTCTGAAACAGAGGAACTGACTCGGCATCTTCCTGCTGAGATGGTTATCATTATCTCCGAATTCCTATGTAATTAGATGCGTCCGTATACCCCAATATGATTGGCTCTAGTGCAGGTAGATCTAGACATGCAATGAAAAATTTTTTCATGCAGTTGGTGAGTCATTGATTGTTATTTTAACTTCCTAGAGGCCAAAGGCAAACGTCATATAAACCCCAACTCCTGCCCAAAGCATGTATCAGTGTTCCTCAGGGTGACAGTTGATTATCAGTCAGCGAGTCGCCATCTGTGTTAAACATCAATGGTGTTCGTTCTAGGGTTATGCGTCGTTCATTCGATCTGCAGTTAACGATGTATGATTGTTCGACAAAAGCGAAGCATATTTTCCTGCTTCTTTTTATGATAACAGTTCTGTGAACGGAGTAACACCCCTAAACAACTGATTTACTTCTTCCAGTTCATTTGTTTGTCAGCGAAGACCATGCCAATGGAGAACTTCGACCCTCTTTAGAAGTAGTGAAATAAAGTGCTGAAACTGTAGAAACATCTGTGCACAGCGCTGCACAGGGAATATGCTGACGTTACTACTTCATATACTAGGTTTCTCTCGAGACTAAAATACAGAGGCGAAGAAAAATTAACGAAATCCGGCTATCTGAACAGAAATGGCAGTCTATTCTTATTCTACACTTGACGACGATTACGTTAGATCGTCTTGGAGTCTGCAGTTACCAAATAAAACGACTCTCTATCCACGCAAATTACCATCTATGCCTTGTCAATGGACCATTTAAAAAGCTGATGACTGATCTTGAAGACTAGTAGTAGAAACTGTAGTCAGAGACAGCACATTCCACCGTGCTTCCTTCTGACGTGACGCTGTTCCTTTCCCGCTACGTTTCCCTCCACGGGATGGCTCAGAGGCTAACTTAGTACAAAAATGTTCTAGAATTATCCACTAATAACAGACAGATTGGTATTTACGGACATGTAAATGGTATAGTAATGCAAACGAAATAGAGCTAAATACGACAGTTGAAAAATTGGGTTTCGAAGCTAATTTTCATTACCACTGGTACGCCATAACCACAACGTGTCCATTACTAGAATTCACGCGGCGTAGTCCCATCTTTGCCATGCTGCTGAAGTCTAGAATCTTATGGATCACCTGCACGCAGTGTATGGTATGCAGAGAACTGCATGCCTGTATTAGACTGAATAATAACAACCCGTTCGAATACCAACTGCCAATACTTTTATCAGCAGAGAAACAGGGCAGAAAGCAAAACTACCATCTGTCCCATTATACAGTCAGCATTTACTATTTCAAACCGATCGGTTAGCACGTGCGACGATAAAACTCCATCTTGGCTGGGAACAAGCCTGAATCTCGTCAGCACCTTACGGCAACTGCACTGCACATAAGCGTACTTGTTTTTACTTGTACTTTACATGTTTCAGTACCGAGAATCGTTCGGTCCTCCTCGCTTAAAGGGTAACTTCATCAAACAGAAGCATATCGTAGTATCTTAAAGTACAAGAAACCAAACTGGTGTCCATACCATGGAGGCGAAAACAATCGAAGTACATGACCACAGAATGGAGCAGAGTACATTATGGGAGAAAATGAAACGAAATCTTGGGCAGCAGTAATCATAACTACCACATTTTTTGTTTCCTTTACGACAGGTTTGTCTAGGAGAAAAATTCCCTGACTACAAGCGTCGAAGGAAGAAGTAGAGACAGCTATCGATACGAACGCCCTACTGGAACAGGGTGAAACGCTACCACAACATCATCGATCCCACAAACGTACGGTAACGATGCACAACTCTACGTTGGCTTCTATCGGCTATACTCTCTTCCATTACTGAGAGGTTTTGGGTCCAAAATTAAAAGTGCGAATATTAATAAATTACCTTAAATGCAAATAATGTAATGCTTAATTCATAGGCTGAATGGAGTACGGACAACATGCTGAATGTAGCACAGACAGGAAATACGAAAGGCTGAAACAGCAATCGAGAATACCATGGTTTCTTAGGTTTTGAAAAGCCCATTTCATGGATTACGCGACTGAACCAAAGGAAAAAATAGTCAAGACAAGTTTAGTACAACAGCAGACAGTTGTTACCTGCTTTGAAACAGGTCCAGGCACGGAGATCAAAATAATGTACATGGAAGAAACAAAGAGCACATTACTGAATTGAAGAGAAAGCAGTATCGAACAAATCATAAGAGAAAGCCTTCATTTAGTCATTAATATAGCAATAACAGCATGTTTACAACAGTCCAATCAGATTTCTAATGGACGTAATATAAGATCGCCTCCACGCCTCGAGAAGATTGCCTCCCAAATGGCTACTGGGCCATAATGAAAGCGCTGCTAAAGTTTCCTATATACACTACCATCATGTATAGGATCAAGACTGCGCTTTGTCTGACGATCTTTTACAGTTGTTTAGCCGGTGCATGTTTATAGCATGTAGTCAGGCAATTTTCGATTCTGGGCCAGTTGCTGAAACTCGGTAAGAGTAATGGCAACACTAAGAACGATAGTGATTCTGAAAAACAAATATTTTATGAACCAGAAGAACTGCAAAGGTGTTGCTTTGTCAAGGGAAAAACTAGTAAAAAGCAAGTTATTTTGTAATGTTATAACACAAATAAAGGAACATCGTTCTGTGGTTCCGACCCTTCTATATTAGCTATTTTGGCTCATAACCGTTTAATTTTGTATTGTTAAAAACCAGACACAATATAACGTTATTGTAAGATTGAAAAGTGAACATAGTTCTTAACGGGAGATACAATGGTCCCGTTGTTTCCTACGTGATTTTCTGCATATGACGGTATAACCTTATATGGCAATTGAGCTCATTTCCATCTTCTTCATCTTTCATGACCGCTTTTTCTTTCGGGTCACGGAGTGACAGAGCTTCCAACGTTTCCATTGTTCTGGCCTCCTTCCATACATTTGCATCAGGTTAATCCCGGCCGACCCATGGGCCTTGTGCCGGTCGGTTTGGCAAGAAACAGTTGTTTAGCCTTCCTTTCTGGAGCCATTCGCAACACATGTCCAAACCACTGTAGGGTGACTTCCTAAACTGGAGAAGCAGCGGATGTCTGCATGGCAATCCAGTTTAAATATCAAAATATTTTCGCATGCGGGAGCATGTTACATGATGCACAACCTCTTCCAAGACCACATTTTCCGTAGTATTGCACCGTGACCTTGCTTCTGGTTGTTTGAGCCGCATTTAAGCTGGAATTTGAGTACCTGCAGGGTCAGATACAATTCGTACCATTTATCACTAGAGTAACCGCACGCTCATCAAGAATGATGTTTCAGGAGCTGGCATGCGTCACTTAACATACTCGGGGGTACGAAGATAATTTGATGTTCATACAATAGCACTGACTCGACTGACTTATTGCATGTCTCAAAGCGTTAGAACATTTTCGCGATTCTTGTCACCATTTGTCACTGCTTCTTGTCTTGTGCAACGACAGAAAGACAAACCTTGTACCATATGTGGATCGCAGTGTGTCGATAATGGCGACCCAACTCCGTCGTAGTCAGTTCTTTTTTGATTCTACTCATCCATGAATTATTTCCTGACCTACCTCTCGCCCTTATCCAGCAAGGATTCAGTCAGTAGTCGGTCCGTCGTAGTTGCATCGCTAAAGAGTGCGACTTTCAGTTTCTTCATTTCATACGAAGGGAAAGTTTATGTTATTCTCCACTCGATATATTTCGCTTATACTTTTCTAGTATTCTCGAGTAGTTCAGTACCTGTGATCTTAGCAGTCGATCTGTAGAGAAATATTAGGCACCACCAAGAGCATTCAAACATGTCTAGCGCATTGATCCCCATCTAATGGAAATTTATGGTTCATGTTGCTGTGGCATGCAAGAGTACTGCGGGTATATAACGAGCATATAAAGAGTGCCAACTCGTGAAACATCGCTCGTAATGAGTACAAGGAGTACATGGCGAACAAACTGATGCAAGATTCATCAGGCACAGAAGAAGCTCGGAAACGTTTTGTGATTACTTTGCGGCAAGAACAAGAGGTAACGAACGCGGATCTTCACCGTAAAGCACGACCATGATCTTACCGGTGCGACAGCACCGCAGCCATCAAAATGATGGCCGAAGTTCTCAGTCGAGTGGGTGATTATTAGGCACCGTTTGAAGGGAAAGCGATACTCACCATCTACGAAATCTCAACGCATCGACTGACACCGTGAAGGAGCACAAATAGGCCTGATGACAGATTTTGTTGAGGACCAGAAAATCCAATATCCATTCAGTCACCTGCAATGCTGAAAGTAGTCCGTAGAGAACAGCGTCAGCATCATCTTGGCAATGGTAGTATATTGCAGCACAATCCCTAGTAAAAGTATTCGCTGCGAATGTGTGACGTTCTTAGGGTTTTACGATTTTGCTTATGCCTTTCGCTTTCCCTAATGCAACCTCAACGTCCCGGTAAGGAAAATCGGGCAACGAGCGATCACGAGGCAAAACGAAACGGTTCATACCGCTGAGGTGCTAAGGTAACTTCGAAGGCCTGTCACGTACTGAAAACGAAAAATGAAACTTTTCAGCCGCGGACATTTCGATCTCATTAAGTTTTGATGATAGCACCCTTCTCATAACACCCATTTGAAGCACCCTCCGTTTCAGGAAGCCTGCGGCACAGCGTTAACCGACGCCATCATTCAATAGTGCGTTATCGTTTCATCCCTTCTGATCC